CGAGGGGAGGACGGGGAGCGGGATGGGGGTCCGGGCGGAACTGGTAAACGGAGGTGGAGACGCTCTAAGGTACATAATCATGCTTGCTGATTCCTTCCCTAATAAAAGTCTCACTGTCAGCCCATCCCCCACGGGTCGCATCCCACCTCCACCCTTCCCGTCCCTGGCCACCGGCGCACGGAGATACACTGCCTCCTTCTCGGCTAACTTCTCCGCGCTCGGAAATCGGCGCACACGCGTCGCACTGAACTGCATGTGTGCGCTTCGCAGAGAGCGTACTAACCGGGTCCGCGGGATGCACCCCTGCGGAGGAGTCCCGCGACAGAGACCGGTGCAACCTCTTTCTCCCTCTGTCTCTTCGCGTGTGTAAGAAGACAAAAGTAGGAGGGCGCACACGGTGGGACAGAGGATGGAGGGCCTGAACGAGGAGAGAATTACGGGCGGCGAGATACGGGTCAGAAATGCTTGCTCTAGCAGCATCTGAACTTGCAATTTTTTTCATCTCCCAATATCCACTCGAAGATTACGTATTCACGTTTCGTATTTGTCTTGTGCTCCCTTTGTCCCGTTGCCTTCATCTCGTATCGCATGTCGTCGTCTCGTCTCGAGTCGACTCGTCCCGTCTCGTCACGTTCTCGATACCCAAGGACTTACGCTGATGAGCGTGCGGTATCGACCAGAGACGGACCATCCTTTCGTGATCCGTATCAAGAACGATTTGCAAATTAATTTCCCTTTGTCGGCAGACCGTCAACGATGCGCCGATTTTCATGGTAAACAGCGCGACCCAGGTTAACTCTCTCTTGCCTCTTGTGGTATTAATAGCCTATCGTTGTGCAACGTGAGCACCGGTCGCGTGCCTTCCCAACGTCGATCTGATTTGGCCCTGTGATGTTAGGAATTATATTAGGTGTAGAGTTACTATGATCGAATTTTGTTGGTGTGCTCTGGGGGTGCAGATGCGAAGGAAACGGTGCGCAAATATGAATCGTTTAAAAAATTAGTAGAAACAAAGTTACTGTTATAATATAAATGGCAACGCGACAGAGATATTTACTTCTAGCAGAGTTATATAAGATATGTTTAATATCTAAATAAAACTCCAGTAAATATGAAACCTGTACATAAATTCGACTCATATTGCGTTACACGAATAAGTTTACAATTCAATATGTACAAATAATTTTTATATTACCTGTATGGTATCAAAATTTTGGATAAAAAATAATTAATTTCCATATAATATCAATTTTTGCAAATACTTTATAAAATTTTGCATAAAAATTTGCAGCATACCAGCGAAATACAATGAAAATTCACCGTATCTATTATGATTAGGCAAAATACCGATCCGATCAGGATCATGCACGCAAAAGCAAGTTAACCGAAGACCAAAGAAAGCCGGACCATTCATGGTGCGGCTACCCTCGAGGTTGTTAAGGTGAGCCATAGGTAAGGGTACAGTCTCGGTGTCTTCGTTTCAGGGTCGATTTTTAAAGGGCCGGGCGTTCGAGGGTCCTTGTCCCAGACAGGTCTCAAGGTGCATGTCTCTGGTGGATTTAAAAGGCCCTCAAGGTGATCGTGTGTAGGGAAGGAACCAGATGGCTCGACCTACCGCACCTTTCTCGTCCTTCTGCCTCTTCCACCCACGTGTCTGGAACCTCGAACCGGTCTCGACATGAAAATGGATTTTCTTTTTTTCCCTCCTCCCCTGCCTCCATCCAACTTTGCTCCACTTCCACCGTCTCCATAGTTTCCTCCACGAACCGTAGATCCCTGCGCCCCTTGGCACGCGTTAATAACGCATCTCGATGCAGCCGTGGAAACTCCGTCGTTCGACATATGTTCTGAAGTCATTGTGCGCGGGGAGAAAATGCGGTTGCGGCTTCTGCATCGTGAACGCGTTAAATGCGTTTTCGGCCCGTTTTTAAGCTCCCGTTAAAGAGGAGAACGCCCGCCCCGAAATTAGGGCCGGATATCGTCGAGAGGCCCCGCCAATATGTCATGATGACCTGGGCTGGATGAAACGCGGGGGCGGTTGAATGAAAGATAGAAAACGTTACAAATTTTGTTTCCTTCGTTCGGCCGCCGACCACTTTGTTCGATAGTCCGTTGCGCCCGCTTGAGCCCGTGATGAGCTCCGAGAGGCACGTGCAGTCCTCGATTCGAAAGCGTAACGGGGTTCGATGTCGAGAGGCGTAAAACGGTGTCTGGAAATGTTTCTTGGATTACTTTTCGGGGGCAGATGTTAGTCTGATGCGAGGTTGAATGGTTCTTGTTTGTATACGATTGCTGTTTTAAGATAACTGTAGGTACTAAAGCTTAGCAAAAGAACGATGATCTATATTATAGCTTCAAAAGTTTCAAATAGGTGTTCGCATATATGAATATTATAGTCATCATTCCAGTAATAACTTCATACTAGACACTTTATATCATATTGATAACATTTAATAGCTGCAGGGTATCTTTTCACTCCGTGCAACTTAAATATTTCGTTGTTTATATGCTTGATTCATATCACTCATCGGTAAACCATTTAATACAGTGTGTTTGTAGAAATTGATAAATTAATTAGTGTAATCCATATCGATGTTGTGAATTGCTGTTTAATACAGTTCGCAGTAAGTACTTAATGCTATTAATATTTGAATTACAAATCATTTTTCTATAATATATGAATTCAGATGAAGTACTGATAGCATTCTTGTCACAAATGACACAAAGTGATAATGTCACTACGTCGACTGCAACAAAAGTAGACACGAAAAGGAAAGAAAAAATCGGAGCGTGTACAAATAGCTACGAAATTCAGCTTGTCCGGGCACAATTTGGCAAACTTTCCAGGTGTAGTGTTTGGAAAGGGCGCTGCATCGGCACGCGTTCAGCGCAGAAAAGTAAAGACGGTCTATCGCGCAGACAAAAGATTTTACGGCCAGACATTATGTTTACCACACGGAACACCCCCGCAACGCCCAGCCGGAAGACCGGATGTCTCGTGCTGAGAATTATCAGAACGGATTTACGAGCGGCGACAAATTGGCCTGTAGTTCTTCCCTTGTATCCGGGGCGTTACAGCTACAGCGGTCGAGGCTTTCTCGTTATTGGCCACTTTGAAACCGTTTAAGACGGCAAAGCCACTTTACGGGAATACACCGGACAATGAGGAACTTCACTTCGTTCGCTTTTCTCGCTTTGTACACCTTTATGGCTCCCTTCCATAATTATCTCGGATCTTTCCTCAAGTCGGGGAAACGGGTGCCGGGGATCGTGAACAGCAAATTTTCTTTAACATCCCTCGCTCCTTTTGTGGGCTATTAGTGTAGCAAACGGCTAACTCCCAACTGAACGGAAAAGCACAATGTTATTGTTAAAACCTGCGACATCTTTGTCGCTTTTAGGAAATACATTTTTAGCTTGGATTTCGCAATAGCTCCAATTGTAGCGTCGACGTTCTTTCATAATTGTTACTATATCGACGTTAGCACGTTCCTTGCCATACTTTTATTTCGGTTACAGTTCCCGTGGTTACTATATTTCATTCAATTCAGTGGATTCTTTTAATAAAATATTTTAAATACAGTAATAAAAAAAGGTTTCTTCTCTGAACATCACGTCGTATATTATAACTTCAATCTTAATTATAGATGAAATTTCACCTCGTAGGAACTTCGTTTTATTATTAACGCAAGGGCAGGTAACGCTTATCGTTTGAATATTAAATTTCAAAATAATAAAACATATATTGAAGTCCTCCCAAGTACTTTCCTGCGATAATGATTTTTAGGGGTAAAACATCATAGATAAAATTCAATTTTCTTCCTATGTATAACACACGATGCCGCTAGCACGTTAAATTAAACGCTAATCGAATCTTTGGAAATCATCCATATCAAAGAAAATTCTCGTCCCCCTCGGAACGAATCATTTTTCAAAAATAAAATATTAGGATCTCGATGGGTGAGCAGTAAGTTGGGGCACCGAGGGCGCATCCTAATGCCTCGGCAAATCGATCGAACGTTCGTCACCTTAATAATTTCTTTCTCTTTCTCTCTCCCCGTGCCCCCTTCACGGTGTTGTACACACCGCGTGAGGAAGCAGCCGGGCATCTGACCAGACGGAATTTTCAATGGGGGCACGCCACGGCACCCCACAGCAGTTCCGTCCTCTAATGTGGAAGTAGCTCGTGCTACCTGAGCAGCTGCGCGTGTGTGCGAGGAAAAGGGGACTCCCTTGGCAGGAGCTCTTTTTTTCTATTTTGCTTTACCTTATGGGGCCACCAGCCGAGGGGAGCGCGAGAGGGTGAAAGAAGAAGTGGGGCTGCGGAGACGAGGAGAGGAAGAAGGCCTCATGTGTAGACGCCACCAGGTACGTGGGCCCAACGTCACGCTCGAGAGGGGGGCCATCTGCCCCCTAACGAGTATGTGACGTCAGGTGTGACGACGTGTGCCTCGGGAC